AACAAAACTGCAAGATTCACTGTGAAAAATGTAAAAAGAAAATTATAATTCAATAATATATTATGGAATATTATAGATGGATAGTTTAATAGATTGATAAACTCTTTCTTGATGCTGTGTCCCTGTTTTTTTTTAGGAATGGGAGTTTTCTTTTTCCTGGATGTTCTGAAAAGAGTCTGAGGGGGTTGACTAGAACTTAGTTGCTGTAGATCACTTTGTTTCCAAGTTTGAAGATTTTTTTCGCTTCCCATCCAGGACGCTTTTTCAATTCAAAATGTCAGAATTACCGCTTAGTTTGAAGCTTTGGCCCAAAACAAAACCTTGTTTTGGCTTAGAAAACATACAAGTTAAACTGGACGAACAGACCCACCCATTAGGAATGGCGACTCATTTTAGTTTTTTTTTTTAGCATGCACTACCAGATGCTTGTCTGTGCCCCTGGAAGGGGGGTCGCTAAGGGGAATTGTTGGCCTGGCTGAACAGGCGAGATGTTTTGGTCCCCTGCATGGGGGTTGGGGTTGAGATGATAACAGGAGGAAATCAACTCTGTCACTGCAAGGTTTTCGAAAGCTGAAATCTGAGTCTACCTCCTATGTTTAAGGTTATTTTTTCTCATAACACTCATAACATAGATGGCTTCCTTCACACCCCTCTCAAACCACCTGTGTTCGTTGTCCAAAATGTGAACATTGTTGTCCTCAAAAGAATGTCCTTTGTCCATAAGTTGTAGATAAACCTTATAGTCTTTACAGGAGGAGGTAGCTCTTCTGTGCCGGGCCATTCTTTAAGGTAGTCTGTCATTCTTTTTTTGTAGGCATTGGTTGGATCTCGTTTCAAAGATTTGTACGTGTTGGTGTCTGTCAGTAGAGCCAGAATTTTGCCCTGGTAGTCCAAAGAGGGTGGCAGCGGTGACTATTAACAACCTCAGCATGGGACTCAAAAAGTCTGGAGGTATTTTACTGAAGACAAAAACACAAGAAAGGGGAAAGTTGTTGGTTTCCTAGCAGGCTCAATTGAAACTTATAAAGGGAATTTAATTGAAATGATTTACCAGAGGTACGCTTCATGCCAAGGAACAATTCATTTAAATATGGAAATGATCGTGTGCGAGTTTTATCTATAGGTGTAAGTCACAATTTGGGGCAAAATTTGCTGCTTGGCGAAGTTGTGCGCTCTGAGTGCTTTTTCTAGATAGCATTATGATTTCTATCAACTTTTTTTTGTTATTTTGATTTTGTCACATAAATTAACAAAAAAAAAATCTATACCTTGATTTAGTATTAGTTTTAGGACTGAACAACTTTGCCAAAAATCTAAATTGCGATTATTTCCCCCCAAAATTGCTCTAGCGATTTAATCGCAACTTTTTAAACCCAAGCTTGTAGATGTTTTTGGTTTTGGCTTTTGGTTTTTGAGAGCTTGCTTGCCCAGAGTCCATTGTTGCAGAACTTTCCTGTAACCGTTGTGTGAAAAAGTGCTTACTTCTACTTGCATGCATGGATCTGCAAGCATGCTGCAAATCTCTCTACCTTTCTGTGTGGCGACAAACACACTTTAAGCATTTAATCACCACCTAAAGAGCTGGAGGGGGATATGTTGTGTCTTACTCTTGTTAAAAATCAGTACCTCTGCGATTTAAAAACTGCATTTTGTTAAATTGCGATTATATTGCAAATGCAATTATTTGCCTAGCCCTAATTAGTTTTCCTCAATGCTCAGGATTCCTGTGCTTAAATGTCAGCAGGTCATCTGCTCAGACAGCCCTGGGCTACTTTACAGACATTGTGCTGATGAGTTTCCAGTTGTTACTTTAAAACAGAATTGTCTCAGTTAAAATGAGGGGAGGCCATCCTTTCGTTGCTGTTATTGTCATAGTTTGAGTGGAGGTTTTTGAGGACCCAAGTACAGAGATCAGGAGGCAGAGGTGAGACTTGCAAATAATAGGCAACTGATGCAGAAATGCAAAAATCCAAAATATTGAGAACCAAAAATAAGATTACATCAGGGAAAACTCACGTGGGAAGCCAGAGATGAGGGAAGAACAAAACAACATACCAGCACTGAGTGACTGCAGAGGTGGTGTAAATATGGCAGACTGAACCAAGACTGACTAATCTGCAGATTGGGAGCAGGTGTGAGCAGGACCAACTAGGAGGAAGGCAAGGGGAAAGGAAAACAAGCACAAGGAGGCAACAGAGGATAACTTAAGAACTCAGCACTGGTAGAAATAAACTACAAATACACAGAACACAAATAAACTTCAAAATAAACCCAAGCAGAGGGTAGAAGTCTGACAGTTATGTTTGAACAAACGCAATCCTTTTTACTAATTGTTCCATAATAGCATTAATACACATTAGGACACTAATGAAAGGATACATGTAGGTTTCTAAATGTCACCGTTATCAATGTTCAGCAGAAACTAGGCTGCTTTCTGTTTACCCATCTGAATCTGAGTGTGTACAGGATGGACAGAGCGTTGCAGAGCTTGGTGAAACGTATTTAGCACGGTGCATTTCCCTTCCAAGTCTGCCTGCTGCCTTTTGTGTTGCAGCGCTGGATTCTGTAGAGCTATGATAAATGTGATTAAACAGCGTGCAGCCAGATATTTCACCCAGATGGCACCCGGAACATGTTATTAGTCGCACGAAGCTTCAATTATCTTCCTCTGACACAAATCCATAGAGCGACCCACATGGGAACAAATCCCAATTTGCACAGGAAATCGTTTGCTTCCAGTGTCTAAAAATATGTGGGGGGGGGGGGTTAAACATTCACAGACAAAACAGCCTTTCAAGCTGTCTCAGTCTGAAGTGCTAGTATATATTTCAATACCTCTGATTTGGTTTTGCTTTTGTTTCTTTTGTGTGATCGCATAATGTTTCACAGATGCACATGCAGCTAAATACTGCTTTTTAAACAATAATTAGATAGTTAGAGCAATTTTTCTTATTAGATGCATAAAATTGCATATATAATTATTCTTCTTTCTTAATACTTGCATCTCTTTGCAGACAGGCAGTGATGGTTACTGCTGTCCTTACGCTAAGCTAGTAGTTACCAATTCCCATTCCCCACATGTTAGTGTTATGAATATTTAGATTTTATCATCAAACTGATGATGAAAAAATAGGACATGGTTTTGTAATACATTTCCACAAATGAATTCATAATAAAAAAAATGTCAATAATACTGGAACAATACTAGAAATAATAAATTCACTGGGAGAAAGGAAATTTAAAGATTTTCTTTCAAACAACAGACAATCGCATTTACTCTCCACCCCCCCCACCCCCCTCAGAATACGGTTAGTTACACGAAAGGTCTGTTTCAGTGAGCTTTAACACAACAGTCAGATCAAGGTTAAATAGTCAGAGCTGTTTGAAGCCGTCAGAAAGAGCTATACAGCAGCTTCTGGGGCTTGTAAGAGATTTAAAAAAGGTCTCAGAAGAAATCTGCCCCTGTATGGATAACAGTCCAGATGTGGAAACCATTCAAAACATCAACTGATAAACGGCAGGTTTAGCTCACCAATAGATAACTAAGATATAGAGCTACAACTGATTTAAGCTGCAGTGTGTGATCATTACCGAAATGTAATATACTATACATAAAAATCTTTAATATTATATTTAATATGATCTACAAACTGAATAACTAAATATTTATGTTTGTGTGACAAACTATTGACTGTAGAGTTCACCATTACAATGTGACTGCAGCAAGTTAAGTCTACTTATAGAAAATCTATATCCTACATAGACTAATAAAATACTGTTTATGAAAATATCTATGTAAACAAACCTCTTCATCACTTGACAAATATGATGATTATTATTATTATTTGCGTTGGAAACAGCGTTCCTAAGCTGCAGATGTCATATTTGGGAAATCTGAACTTTTGCAACCCGACATGAAGCACCAACCAATCAGAGAAGCTGATCTAGGGAGACAGACATTATCACTGTGTTCGATGCCGGCGGCATCTTTTCGCCTGTATCCTACATAGCCTTGAGTATCCCATGATTCATTGCGAGTCAAAGCAAGCCGGCTGCTCCGTGCCAAGAGGAAAAAGGTACTTGGCACCAAACAGTGGTGAATATTGTAAGTTCAGTTTAATATAATACAAGTATTTAAATAATTCTGTCTGAAATTAATAAAAATAGTTGTTTTAAATGGTTATTGAGTCAGATATGTGGCGGGTAATGTTTGGTTTATTAAAAGGATGAGATGACGCTACTGCTGCTGAAACCCCTCAAACATGAAATGAGCACCCACAACAGTAAGAAGTTCAACATCCATTCTTTGCCTGCTTTGTTAATCAACCGTCATGGTTGCTAGGCGACAGAGCGTATGCATATTTAGGAGCCACGTCCGCTGAGGAAGGTTAGACCTGTTTGAACCTATAACAGAAATCTTCCGTCCTCCTGATTTTAATGTTCCTCCAAGGACCTAGCCTCTAAATTGGTACACACCATACATCCGAGCCTTAAACACTCCTCCTGTAGACCTGTCAGCACAAAACTATAAAAAAAATTAACATATAAATATGAAGTAGTTAAACTCCTTTAAATAAAATGTCATGAGGATGTATTTTGTAAAAGGAAAAAAGTGCTGTGATCATTATTATAAAATATTTTCCTGTTAAATTTTGGCCAAACAATATACATTACCTACAATTAACTAAAACTATGTTAAATATCACTATCGCTATCTGCCGTCCTGATGGCTACCAATGATATTGTTGTCATTTAAGTTCAATTTCTCAAAAATAAAAAGATAAAATTCCGATGAACGCTTCTTTTTATAGAACTGATTATTTTATGGGTTATTTAATCCATTCACAGCTGTTGACAGGAAGCCTGATGTATTGTCTGTGTGAGTGTGTTTTAGAGATTTGAACAGATGTGACACAGATATAACATAAACCTGATGGTCCTGTTTCCGATAGAGCTCACGAATCTGTGTCCTCTCTTGTTTTCTGTCTGTTTCCTTTCAGAGAGGAGCTGAAGCTGGCCTCCCAGAAGTCTCAGCATCATGACGAGGTACTGACCTTTCCCCGAAGCCGTCCCCTCTATCCTGTTATAGATCTGGGGTTTGTTTAGTCAGAAACGGAGCTTTGATTAAAGGGTTTAGGCGTAGGGACGTCTGAGCTCCCGCTGTGACTAAACTCCTCAAGCTGAGCAGCTTTAGCCTTTATTTAGATACGTCTATATGTGTGTTTGACCCGCAGAGCCAAGAGGATCGCAACAGTCAGCACGCAGACATGAAGAGCAGGTAAGCGGCACGTTGATTTATTCATGTTCTTTCAGATGTTCAAAAATGTCCAAATCTGCCAAATGTTTGCATGAATTAGAGCAGCAAATGGTAGAAGTACATTTTTTGAGCCATCGGGATCAACATCTCTAATGGAATTTACTGAACTGAATCATCCTGTCTTTATGTCTTTCTCACTCACAGCAAATAGTCAAAATGTTTATTTTACCTTTTTTAGGGGTTTTCAACAAATCTACTTTTTTTTTCTAAAGAAACCTCTAGTCTATATTCATTTCTTCCTCAGGGTTTAAAGTCTTAGGAAAGTGGCTGTTCCAACCGTAGCAGTTCCGATCTCTCCCAAGTGGTGCCCGACTTTACACGAGTGAATTAAGTGAATATGATTGGTCGATTATCAAGAGGGTGGGATTGTTGTGGCGGAAGGTTCGCAAGCATGTCTGGTTGTAACCGGTTTGTTGGAAATTTGAAATTTAAATATGACTTCCCTACGACTTTAAGGAAATGTGAATTCAAATATATTTAATTTTTAAAGATGTAGGGAAGTCATATTTAAATGTCAAATCATTCTGGCTTAAACATGTATATAAATGTACGATATTTAAAAAAAAATGCCTCTCTTAAAATCTTTGTGTTTTTTCTCCATATCTTATGCAGGCCAGTTAGTTATACGTCAGCTTGTGCACCTAAATTCGGTCAATCTTATATCAACGGTCATCTGTCAATCAATCTTGATTCATTCGAACCCACGTCGAGGACTAAAGGGCAGATTATTGTTCTGCAACCGCACGCATCAAATGTCGCTTGGGTCTGGTCGTGAACCAGTTTTGCTGGAATGCTTCTGCACCGTCAGTCTGGAATTTCTAGGGACGCAGATCGGTTTCCCACCAAAGCGCAAGGGGGAACCTATTTGAGAACTTGCGAGAAATTCGACGGATTGTACTTCCAAACCTCCTCGATTAATCTTTCGTCGTAGTTGTCCACTGTTGTAGTTCCTCTGTTTTTAAAAATGGTGCACCCCAACACCGAATCGAGAAGGACGACCACCCAGATAGCCGGAAAAGCATACTAAGGACCAATAACAGCTGCGCGGGGGGCATGGTCGTGCACAGAGACAGATTTGACGGTTGCAGAGGCTATGCATCAGAAGCATAAATTGGCCTTAAGGCCTCCGTACATGGGTCGTGCCACTAACCTCTGCGCCACCTGCATGCCTGGGGAAAATACAATTTCACAAACAAATTGGAAAATAAAAAGAATATTAAACTAAAAAGAAAAAAATATGAAAAGTAAATTTGTAAAAATAGCAAACTTACTCTCAAAAACCTTTTTTTGATTTAAACATTTTTTTCAAAGTTTCATTGATTGCATTTGTTTTCTTATTTCAATTTACAAAATTTGTTAACTTTTTCCCCCCCCCACACATTTTAGAAAACCTGTTCTTTGCTTGCAACAGTAATGAAACAAAACTCCATATTCTGGTGAATGTTGACACAACAGCTGCAGAGTTTGGCTGCATTTTCAATTCAATTCAGTTTATTTCTATAGCGTCAATTCACAACACATGTCATCTAAAGGCACTTTACAGTTCACCCAGATCATACAGTCAAATAGATTCAAAACTTTCTCTCTAAGGAAAACCAGTTGTTTGCATCGACTCAAAGGCACCAAGCATGACACCAAGTATGCTTGTAGCAGCATATCCATAAAACAAGTGTCCAGATCTTCCACATCCAAGAGGAGCTCTATGTGATTAAAACTGGTTATCTGTGGAGGCCATTAAAGTGGATCATCCCATTGTGTTTAAGACATGGTTGAACCTTTTTGCTATGGTGAAAAGAGCAATAGGAAGATCGGCACACAGATGTTATATCAGGATGGCCATGGTGAGCAAAAACAGTGATATCTGATGTGGAATTTTAAAGATGTTTAATGTTTACTAAAGATAACCCACACCAGGAATCACCACTGCCAAGATCTTCCAAAATAGCTCACTTTGTTTACACAGCTGCTGCTCTCTGAAAATGTCCTCCCTTTCTGAAAGTTTGTCTCTGAACCCCAGAGATGGTTTTGTGTAAAGGATCATAGATCAGATGTTTCTGAAATGCTTAGGCCAGCCTGGGTAACAGAAACATCTGACCTGTTCCAGTTCAATGAAATCCTTTTACTTCCCCATTCTGGTGCTTTGTTTGTACTTTATTACAATGATAGGGTACGTATGTACCCTACATGTACTCTTATCAGACCATATCGTCCCTAAAGTTTGAAAATTTCTATTTTGATGATTGGTCGATTATCAAGGGGGCGGGATTGTTGTAGCCGAAGGTTCTCAAGCATGTTTGGTTGTGACCGGTTTGTCGTAGTTGGAAATTTAAATATGACTTCCCTACAACTTTAAGAAAATATGAGTTCAAATATATTTACTTTTTTGAAGTTGTAGGGTAATTATTTTTAAATGTCAAGTCATTCTGGCTTAAACATGTATATAAATATACTCTTTATCAGACGATATTGTCCGGAATTCAGAAAATTTCTATTTTAAAAAAAAATGCTGTCTTAAAATATTTTTTTGTCGTTACCTTATGCAGGCCAGTTAGTTATATGTCAGCCTGAACACCTAAGTTTGGCCAATCATACATCAAAGGTCATCTGTCAATCAAATTTTTTCAGTCATATCATCTTGAGTCATATGTTGCAGCTAATATACGCAACGGTTGAAATAAGAAATAAGATTAATTTCCTTTCGAATTGAGTTGCGTCCCAGTGTTCACGGTAATTGACGTCTGCATCTTCAGCAGAACTGGCAGCGTTGCGAGGCAAGGGCTCAAATATGTACGGCTGTAAGCCTTCTACACCAAACCAAGCTTCTGCTTGTTCTCTTCCACAACATCTTCGTCCCGCTTTCCTCCTCTAAATAAGAAATGTATGACGGAGGAGACTCACCCACGACCTCCGACACTAAACTCTCCTCCTCTTGCATGTCTCCGCTGTCCATAGCGTTCCTTGACAGTGTCGTTTCTAAGTCACCAATTTAGTGCTACTTGGTCCCAATGGAATTTCCCATTGGGAACCTACTAGCACTAAGTTGCTAACTGGTTAGCAAGATGCCGGCCATAACCAAACTGCTTGCGAACCTTCTGCCACAACAATCCCGCCCCCTTGATAAACGACCAACCACATTCACTTTATTCACTCGGGAGAATTCAGAACTGCAATGGTTGGAACAGCCGCTCCCCAACAATTTTAAGTTGTTTTCTCATAGGCCTAGATTCATACGTCTTATGTTGCTGCCTTGTGACTGGATGACTAATAGCTGTACAACAGGGTGTACCTAATAAAGTGGCTCAGTATTATGATGTTATAAATCCGCATTGATTAATCCACATTTCAAATGAGTAGAGTGTAAGCATGGCTAAAACAAGTACCTCAGGTTATCCTTTTAGTGGACTTCCATTAGTAGTTTGTTGGAAAAATGGTTAGGACAAAACATGACAGATGTGAAAAGGTTTCTAAAAAAAACTATATTTAAATGAAAAAAACACCCAACTTAATTTCTGTGGTTTCTAGCAGATAAAGGATGAGCATTCTGGTCTGTTTAATCTTTTTTAATAATCTCTGGATATCACCACACAGATGCACAACAAACATAGTTGTTAAAAAGTCTCCTCTTCAGAAAACCTGTGACGGTAGCCTCAGGTGCAGCAGAGTCTGTTCTGCATACAGTTTTTTTTTTTTTTTTACGTTTTTTTTTTTTTTTGTTTTTTAATTGATGAAGCACACAAGGAAAACCCTGCTAAATAAACACCTTCCATTAAGCCAAAACAATCACTAACCCTTGTAGATATTGGTATAAAATAATGATATATAGCTAAAAACCCTACCTGGCTCTGATATAGAATCTGAAGGTAAAGATTAGGGTGATAGCATGGAGGCCCCCAACCCTCAATGACAGGGAGCTCCTCACCATATAATAAACCTCATAATACTTTTAACTAGTGTTGCGCCGATGCCATTTTTTGGCCCCGATACCCGATACCTGGCTGTGTATTATTGGCCGATACCGATACCATCTGTTTGAAATTTATGTGTGTGTTTATATATGAAGAACTGCACACTACTTGGATGTAAAATAATTGCCATCATGGCTTTGTCAAGCTGCTGCCTACCTTTGTGAAGCAGGAAAAAGACTAATACAAAGTGAATCCAGTAGAACTTTTTATTGCCTACCTGGAATGGGTGACAATAGTTGAATAAACTTTTAACTCTCAAAATGGTATCAGTGTCCTATTTGTTGGTACTCACAGATACCGATAATAGCATTTTAGTGCTGGATCGGGACCCCTCCTGATACTGGTATCGGTGCAACAGTACTTTTAACCTGAGGAATATTTCATTTACTAATGAGGAGTAAATTTTTTTAAATAAATTGAATTGATCGCTGAGAACCTATTTATTTTATGTATTGTATTTTTCATTTATTAATTTTTGCATAAACACGACACTGAAAGATTTTTTCTTTTACCAGGAGGTTCCTGTTTCATTTCCTACTGGAAACTAAGTTCTTGGTTTAATGAAAATCATTTAAAATCTGAGGATTCCGGGGTGTTAGTTATTTTCTGCTGTTATACTAAGAAGAAGTGATCAAAAGAGCTCAGTATTTTATAACAGCTGCTGTCAGCCCTCTATTCTGCTTTGCACAAGTTAATTGGTACATTCTTGCTTAGAAATTCACATGTGCAGGACTGCAGCACATTTATGGAAACGTGTATCATAAATGAAGCTGTTTATCCCTCACTCTTTACATTTATTCTAGAGATATACATGTGCGTCGTCTGCATAATGTAATGTTTAAGAACATATAGAGAATAGAAAATAGAATAGAAAAACTGATCCTGGATTTGAAATCTGGGACAAATTAGGATACGTAAAGTCTTTAAAACATAAAAATGTTCTTTTTAGATAACTAAGAGAAACTAAACAAAGTATATACCGATGTTTTGCTAGGAATTGAATTATATTTGGTTGTGAAAATGATATTTTTATGAAGCAAAAACAAAAGAATAAATGGGGGATTTCCTCAGCTTTTAGGTCAAACAGTCTGGTTTATGATATCAAAAGGCTGTTTTTGGGGTTGTGCTCTTTTTTTTCTTCTTCTTTTCAATGGAGTCTTGATTAACAGAATTTTCAGGTCCGATAACCAAGCAGCTGTGAACTTCAGTTCGTCGGAAACAGAAGCTTATGCTGATGAAATGATTTACTCCACTTCTAAGCAGCTCTTCTTGTTGAAAGTGAATGTATAATATGGGAGAGAGGGTCGACAGGGATGAGTATGTAGTTCAAGATCTGAGTGAATCAGGAGAAGTCAGGCAGAAATGTGAAGACGAGTTGTTAGTGCTGTGTGAGTGACCTAAGGGGAAATGATGAAGCTACAGAATGAGCCAAAACAACAGATGGGGAGGCAGAGGGTGTTTACACTTGGACCTGAAAAAGGTGAATAGAAAAAACCACCTTGTTGCTTTCACTTCCACTTGTTTGGCGTGTAGAACAGAGGATGTTTGTGGATTGTTAGCCAGGCTCAGGTGGTTTCTGTTTTTATTGCAGTTCAGCTGTCAGCTGATTAGCCTGATAAACCAGACTAAATGTGAGATTAAATGTGTAATTTAATCTGGCCTCGATGAATGAGACATCAGAAGATTGTTGATGAGAACAACGCGTTGTTTTTCAAACCATGTCTGTGCCTAATGGCCAACGCTCTGACCAATGAGAGCAACTGACTGTGACGTAGTAAGAGCGACAGAAAGCTGGTGGGGGAGTGTAAACAAACAGCCTGTCGGTAAAATGGCGAATACGTCCTCCTTAAAAATGAATGATCATAGAGCCTCTTTCTGCTCACGTTACAACGAAAACCCCAAGTCTAATCCTTCCAGAACTGATTCCAAAGCTGAGTCAAACGAGAACTGTTCAATAGTTGTTGCCATCTTCCTTCTGCTTTCTCCAGCGTCATGCAGCTTTGTCGTCACGCCCTCAAAACCCCGCCTGCTTTGCATCCAGAAATTTAAAGACACGTCTGCGCTGTGATTGGCCAGCCAGTTCTAGGGCCTGGGTGATCGAGGCTAGACCACTCGCAGGCAAAAGGGATTTTGGCCGCTGGCGGGTGGGGCTAGTTTACTAGGCTATAAGCTGATTATACTTCATGTTCAAAGCCATAGTTTTTGGATTTCAGACATTAAAGGCAAGCCATAAAGATAAGACTGAATTATGATTAATTTTTATATAAAATTTGATTTAAGGCGGACCACTACGTCTCCAGATAACTTAACTTTTCTTCCAAGAGAAGAAGGGAAAATGTAACTTAAGGCTGAGCTCAACAAACTCTGACTTATTTAGTATTCATAGCTTTAGACGAGAGCTGGACATGGAGTAATACGCCACGCTGTTAATGTGGATGTTCTTCAGCACCAGTGTGAAGAAGGACAGTTTCACTCGTTTTTTTTCCTTTAGAAAATAAAAAGTAGCTAGCAAAATTGTCGATTTCTTAAAGTGAAAAGATCTGAACTACTTATATCACATATATTTGCTAATAATCTGCTGTACTGTGTGTTTGCAGTTTAATTTGAACCTTCTCTCAATGTGACAGTCCAACTTTATTGTCGCCAAGAATACGTTTACATGAAAAAAGAGAAAAAGCAGGTTAAGTTTCCAAACTTGTAGTTAAGTGCGTGTTTATTTGTGTGGACAGTCAACAATGGCTTCTGTATTTCACTGATCAGGTTGGTTTGTTTAATGGTGAACCGTACGCAGATTCTATGGAGAATGTCCCTTTATTGTTGGTAGCAAATAACATATTTTAAAATTGGGAATTTAAAAAAGCTTTACTAAATGGAAATTAAAAAATATATATATTTTTTCAATTCTTTTACATATTTGATTTTTTTTATATGTACTTTTTATGTTTCACGTAATTTTTTCCACATTCTTTTACAGATTTTATTTTTTTTTTAACTTTAATTTGATAGATTTATTTAAATTTATTTTTTTCTAAAAGAAAGTAACCTTTCAACAGATGTTTTTCAAAATTTTAATGGTCAGTATTTCTTTTTGTTAATTGAGTTTTAAGAATTGCATTCTTTTTAAACTAGTTTTTACAGATCACTTTATCTCCCCTCCTGGGGCAGGCCTTCCTCTGGAGCCGGGAGCAAAGATGCATTTCTATTGGTCTGCTGGACGTTAGCAACCACATTTTCATTTGTCATTGATCACGAGTGAGCATTTTCAGTGGGCTTGAAGTAACTGAATGTGATCCGTGAAACCAAATAAGAAAATAATGCAATTTGGAAAACCCATCCTGAAAAAGAGAAATATGAAAAAAAGTTAAATTTCTAAATATAAAATCTGTAAAAATTAAAAGTATAAATTATATTTTGAGAAATTACATTTGAAAAAAAAATTAAATGCGAAAAAACTATTTGGAAACATATTAAATCTAAGAAAATGAAAATTTTCAAATTTCCATTTAAAAATCTCCTAAGCAGCTAGCTTAGAGTTGTGTGAAAACATGTTTCCCCCCTTTGTGATTTATTATTATTTTTTGTTTTTTTGCATGCTTGTTTGAAGAAGGATTTAATTCTTAATGCAGAAAAAACATTCAAACCTACTTAACTACTGTTTGAAATTAATTGCTGTTAGAACATAAACACCAAATATGTTTAGCCTCTTCTGTTTTCTTTAGGTAAAACTTCTTGTGTTCAAAGATGGCAACTGATTTTTAGGAACTAGATGACCATGACTGTTACTTAGAGCCGAATTGGTGACAATATTCTGTTATTCCTAAAATTAATTTCACAATAAGCATATTTTATTGCCAACAAAAGTAGTCTTTAAAGCTGTGAGATAAAACACAATATACAATCCTAAAATGTAGAAAAACACCATAAATCTTTAAAAAATCTGACACTTTTTGTGTTTAACTGCATATTGAGTGAGATCAGATTTAGCCAGGCTGTAACTCCGGATCTGTAGCCTTATTCTAGCCATTTCAGCAACAGGTAGAGAAGGGGCAGCAAGGTTTTACTGGCGTCTGATTGATTTAAATGCAGAAATATTCCGTTTGTAGATTGTTTTTTTTTTATTTACTCTACAGAGACGCTGTTTTAAATCAGGACATGAAGGGGGACGTCGATTTTCAGAAATCCATGGGAGCTTTGATCTCAGACAAAGACAAAGAATTGGAAACTCTGAGGAACGAGGTACAAAGATCAGGATCCCAGCTTTCAGTAGTTTTCCACATGGGTCTGTAAAGCCTCCTCCATCTTTGCAGATCGCCGTACTGCGTGGAGAGAACGCCATGACAAAGACGCTGCAGTCGGCTGTGGAGACGTTGGAGAAGGACAAAGCTCAGCTGCAGAGTCGTGTTCACAGTCTGGAGCAAAGATTGACGGGAACCCAGGCCTCAGACGGAGGAGACAGAGAGGCTCCCCACTCAGGTGAGGAAAGATTCGCTGAAGTCCTCGGCTCAGAGTTTGACTGCAGATTAATGTGTCTGCCCTTGCAGGGGATGCTGTCCTGCAGCAGCTGAGGGAAGAGAAAGAGTTTGCTGAGGGGCAGGTGAGGCCTTCTGCAAAGCCTTAAATAGTGCCCAAAAGAGTTATTTCATCTTGTCTTATATAATAAATATACAATAATCTGTGTGTTGGACTCCATCAGATCAACTTCCTGAACAGCGTCATAGTGGACCTGCAGAGGAAGAACGAGGAGCTGAAGATCAAGTTAAAGAAGCTTGCATTGGCTGAGTTCAATGGAAACGACGGCACAGACGGGTAAAAACAAAAAAAAAATGGCTGCCTGGAGTGATACTGGTTTTGAGGTGTGCCGGTGACAGTAAAGTTTAAATTCTTTTATCTCTATGATAGGTTTGATGATTCAGTACCAAAGCGTGAAAAGAAGGCGACTCCGCGTCTTTTCTGCGACATCTGCGATTGCTTTGACCTCCACGACACGGAGGACTGTCCCACACAGGCCCAGAGCCCCGACTCCGTACCTCACAGCAGTTACCACGGCAACCCGACTGACGTGAGGCCCTACTGCGACATCTGCGAGGCCTTCGGGCACGCCACCGAGTCATGTAACGATGACCAGACCTTCTAAAGAGGTCACTCCTCTTTTACTCTCCCTCCTGATGTATTTCTTACACTCCAGCTAAACACAAGTTTTTCCCATAGTGTATTTTTATACTGTAATGATGCGTCGCTGTGGTAACAACCATCCTAACTTAACCCTTTTCTGAGAATAGTGTTCCGATCGCGATGCAGGATGCTTGTCCAAATATGCTTCTTTGGTGCAATATTGATATTTATATCAAATTAAATTTGCTTTCTGCACTTGTTATTTTATACATATTTAGAAGTTTATGTTTTTATTTTTTATAATAAGTAGAAGTAATTTTTCACGTGTTGTTTTTAGGGTTGTTTTTTGGCAACAAAGTGATGCAGCTAGATGAAGCACAGTTAAAACCGAAGGATCTGTACTCTATTCTGTTTTCTAATAAGTTCATTAATAAGCCCCGCTGCCTTACGCAAGCGTATTGCATTCACAAAGGAAAAAAAAAAATCTCAAAGCGTATCTAACAATTACAAGATCGGTATTTCGGAATTATGAGATAATATGTTATAGTTAGGAAATAAGGAAGGACATTCATTTCTGAGTTATGCTACATAAAACGTGAACAATGAGTGCTTTGTCAGATTTAATATGCTTTTATTTCTTTTTAGGTATGCAACTCTGGGAAATAATTAGTCTCCTCAATGTGGATGGAATTAGTTTTAGTTTGTCAGCATTGCGCAGTAAGTTTCTACTCTGACTTGCTGGAAGTCGCACTGTTCCTGCAGGAGCAATTAAACCAGCACGGGATGCTTTATAGCTATAAATGCTATAAATGCTTCAAGCTGGCTTGGTGGTGTCCTAAATAACTATCCAGTACCTGCTCAAAATCCTAGATCCTTAAGGAGTGCAGCTGAAGCTTCAGAATCGTTCAAAATGACTTCTCTACAGAAACCTAGGTCCCAGCTTCATGCAGCATGTCGATTCATATGAAAACAAAAAATCATACAGAATCTGTATTAATGGAGCTCTTAATGGGTTTTCCCAAATGGTCATATGGCTGCATGCTTATTCCACCAGTAGTAATCACTGGGTTATAGCTGGGTAATTATTGATGAAGTGGAAAACAGGAGAAGAACTCCAAGGCGTATCAAGTCAGACCTCGATACAGAGAACTGTTCAGTGAAACGGATGCAGATATTTTTAAGAAGTAATCATGAAGACATTTTCTGAGAGATGCTACATTACTGGCTCAAGTAATCATAACCAAATATATGGATGTGATTTCATAATTATGAGATAAGTGGTGTGATTTTTTTTTTGTCTTTGGTGAATGCAATACGCCTCCGTACTGCCTCATTAAAACTAAGGATTTATGCTGTTTTATTAGCACAGCCATTGTTCCAGTTAAAATATATATGACAGAGTATTATGGCCAGACTAGGTGAAAAAAAAGAATAAGATTATGACATTATTCTCAAAATATTACGCTAAAAAGCTCAGTTTGTAAACATTATAGCCTAATAATTTGACGATGGGCGAAAAGGTTTCATTTCCTTATTTGTAAAACCAATGAGAACATTTAGGACAGGATTCTCAACATTCCTCATTTCAATGCAGGAGATGACAGCGCAAGAGCTCTCATTAAATAATATTGGCTTTAACCTCCTAATATTATGACTTTAAACTCGTAATGTTGCAACTTTAATTTCATAAAATATGACTTTTTTCTGGTTATATTACAACTTTAAAGTTTTAATGTTACAAATTCAATCTTGTGATTTTAAAACTTAAATCTCATAATATTATGAATATCCTCATAATATTGTAACTTTAAAAATGTTATGACTTTAATCTCTTAATTTTAAGACTTTTTCTCATAATACTATGACTTTTTTTCCTCATAATATTTAATTCAGTTTAATTCTATAGCGCCAATTCACAACACCTGTCATCTCAGGGCTCTTTACAGTTCACCAGATCATCCAGTCAGATTGATTCAAAGTTTTCTATCTAAGGAAAACCAGTTGATTGCATAGACTCATTGACTAAAAGGCAATCCCTCACACTAAGCATGCTTGTAGCGACAGTGGAGAGGAAAAACTCCCTTTAAACAGGAAGAAACCTCCAGCAGAACCAGGCTCAGTGTGAGCGGCCATCTGCCGAGGTCGACTGGGGTTCAAGGAGACAGAAGCAGAGATACAAAAAGCAGCTGAAAACTAAAAACAAACTTAATTGAAGTGAATCTCATAATATGACAACTTAAAGCTTGTAATATTACAACTTTTGTCTCATAATGTTATAACTTTATCGTCATAATGTTATGACCTCATTCCCACACTATTATGACTTTAATCTCTCAATATAAATTTTCTCATAATGTTATGACATTACTCTTGTGAATTTATCATTTTAATCTTGTTTGTAATGTTATGGCCTTATTATTGTAATATTGCAACTTTAATCTCTTAATACTATATTAGTAATGTTATAATTTCAATCTACTAATATTATGACTTTATCCTAGTAATACTGCATCTTTATTTTATAGTGTTATGACTTTATTCTTGCAATTTTACAACTTTCTAATGTTCTGTCTTCAAACCCTTAATATAATGTCTTCATTCTTGTAATTCTCCTATTTTATTCTCATGATAGTACAGCCCGTCAAAAGCAAACTTCTCTTTAGTCTGGCCCTAATACTCCATCATAGAAATGAGAGTCAGGAAGAATTGTTCTCAGAATAGTCTTGCTCGTTCCTCCACATTTTGTTAAAGCAACACTCTGTAACTTGAGAGAAATATCAGCTTTATCTAAGATATATTAAATGATTTTTCAGGTCAGTGGTTTTTGCATATTGATGCTCTATGCTACTCAATAACCGCGGATCTGTCTTTAATGAGTCATGTGACCCGGAGCATCGCTTTACCTCAGTCTGAGCTCCCCTTAATAACTACAATTAACAAAGTAAAGTTGTTTTTTTAGCAAACACTTGTTTAACATTCAACCCTTAACTGATCTGACATATTTTTGGTTCTCTGATGTAAGATTTAGTCCAGAGTAAACATTTCAGCCCGTGACCCTACAAAAATAACAATGCAACAAACTGGAAAATCCCTAAAAATACAAATTCTGTTAATTACTTCCCTCTATATTTAAGTAATTATTTTCCTTTTAAATAAAATGTTTTTGTTTTATTTATTTAATGGGACATCTAAATATTTAATGAAGCATTTAACAGCATACAGCTAAACCTGTAGGATAGGGGTCTAGCGCCCCTAGTGGCTAAACGTTGCACAGTGTTGCTTTAAGTTTTGACAACAAACTAATTTTCTCCAAATAAAAAAAAACAAAAAAAAAACATCTGAAGCCCAAAATACAAAGTAGTTTTTTTATTTCTAAAGGCTATATTTATAAATACAAATAAAACCATGATTTTCTTCTTTCCGAGTCGCAGTTATGAAGGAATTAGTGTTTGATCATTTTATAAAGTCTCGATTTAATACCATGAGATTTGTGGTACTAACAAGAAAATGCGGGGGGAAAAAATGAGGATTTTCTTTGTTTGGTTGTTAACTCACAGCTTTGTAACAATGCTTACCTTTAAACGTTTTATTATTGTGAAACTGTTAACGTAATCATGCAGTTTTTGATCTAAATATTCTTGATCCCCTTGTACATTTATGCACTGTCTGAACACAAAATTATTTAACTCTTTCATTTTTAAAGAGATTTTAAATTATATATTTTTTATCAAAAGTTGTTTCGTTTTTTGCAATGTAACTACATCTTTGTTAAAACTTTACATATTTAAAAACACTTTAATAGTTGCACCGATGTTAGATCGGATGGTGGAAATAATCTCTTAGGGTTAAAGTGATGTTCTAATCCAGGGCTGTGGAAGTATTTGTGGGATTCCCTAACAAGAAGGTCATGGAGATTTCTCCTATCATTTATCCTCCTGAGTTTTCAGATAATTTTTCGATGGCTCAGACACAGAATGAAGATAAGTTAAAATATGAAGTTTCTTCTTCATTATATCATCATCAGTTTAAAAGCTGTTGAGGAGCTTTCAATCAAAAATCACACAGTACAGTTATGGTGTCCAGGTGTGACTATTTTACATGCTTTACATTTCATAACAGCTTTAATGATTAACTTTTGTTTTAAAGTTAGGATTTCAAGTTGCAGCTCTTTACCTCATAGTTTTTTTGTTGTTGTTTTTTTTTCATCAGCTTCTGTGTTTAAGGCCAGAGTTGAACATTGCTGCGTGTCGCCCTCTATAGGCCGCTGCTAAAAGCTGCAGGAGTTTTGAGAGGATGATAAAGTTTAGTTATTAATCTCCAGATCTTTTTAGCCATGAAGTGATCATCATTACAGGGAAATAAGCTGGAGCTGATGAAGTTTAAGCAGGACTGATGAGGTATATGAGACGCACCTTTGCTTCTATTAGTATCACCCTTTCTATTTTAAAGTCGTAGGGAATTCATATTTAAAGTCAAATCATTCTGGCTTAAACTTGTGAATAAATGTATTCCTTATCAGACGATATTGTCCCAAAAGTTAGGAAATTTCTATTTAAAAAAAATCCTGTCTTAAAATTTTTATTTATTTTTTTTATTTTTTTTTATTTTTTATTTTATGCAGGTCAGTTAGTTATTTGTCAGCTTGAACCCCCAAATCCGGCCAATCATATATCAACGGTCATCTGTCAATCAAATTTTTTCAGTCATAGCATCTTGATTCATATGTCGCAGCTAATATACGCAACGGTTAAAATAAGAATAATTTCCTTTCCCATTGAGTTCTGTCCCAGTGTTCACAGTGATGGACGTCTGTGTCTTCAGCAGGCGTAGAGCTAACAGAACTGGCAGCGTTGCGAGGCAAGGGCTCAAACATGTACGGCTGGAAGCCTTCTACACCAAACCAAGCTTCTGCCGCCCTGGCGTCCTCTTCCACAACATCTTCGCCCCCGCTTTCCTCCTCTAAATAAAAAATGGATGACGGAGGAGACTCATCCACGACCTCCGACACAAAACTCTCCTCCTCTTGCATGTTTCCTCTGTCCATAGCGTTCCTTGACAGTGTCGTTTCTAAGTCACCAATTTAGTGCTACATGGTCCCAATGGAATTTCCCATTGGGAACCTACTAGCACTAAGTTGCTAACTGGTTAGCAAGATGCTTCCAACAAACCGGCCACAACCAAACTTGCTTGTGAACCCTCCACCACACATTCACTTTATTCACTCGTGTAAAATCGGGCACCACTCGGGAGAATTC